CCCCCATGGTGTTTGTCTTATACCTGCCCTGGTATTATATGTGTTTAGTTCACCAGTTTTATGATTGAGAGGAATTGTTCTGGAGAGACTCTGTGTAAGGAACCACACCTGATGAGCTTCATCCATGCCTGTCCCTGATTTAGATGATGTAATTATGGACCTTGATCTGATACTGTAATGGAATGTGACTTTCGGGGGTCTTGGGAGAGATAAGTTTTGCATGTAGGTGGACATGGATCAGCAAGGGCCAGAGGGCAGACTATGACAGCCAGTGTTCAAGATAGCCCCAGTGATTCTCACCGCCTGATATGAGTGCCCTGGTATAGTCCATTCCCACAGGGAACAGGGCTGACCTGTGTAACCAATAGGCTATCGCAAAAATTAGAGTATGCCCCTTCCACAAAGTGTCAGATAATAAGTGTTTATTGATTTAAACTGCTAAAATTTGGGATAATTTGTTGTGTGGCAATAGATAACTAATGCAATTAATTTATTTCAATCTTATTATGAACTCATGAATTTAAGTATATTTGATAGACTTGATTAAATCAAATACGATTGTTAAATATTTGAGGATAGCTACTAATAGAGAGGAATCAGTGGAAGAAGAAATGTGCAGTGAAAAGCAAAGAAAAGTTAATCCAAAAGGAAACAGGAACAGGGTCAGAGGGTAGGGGAGGAAAGTACATTTGGAAAAGTATGGCAGATGGAAAAACCAAAGTGAGATGTAAAAATACATTTAATATATCAGAAAGCCCCCAACATTGTAAAAAGAAGAGAAGGAGGAGGAGGAGGGAGGAGAAGGGGAAGGAGAAGGAAAGAAAAATAAAAGAGGTGCTTCCTCCCAAAGTAAGTTCATGGCCTAATAACCAGCCCCCGTGAATGTTGCCTTATTAAGAAAAAGAGTCTTGCCAGCCGGGCGTGGCTCAGCGGTTGAGCGTCGACCTAGGATCCAGGTGATTGGGGTTCGATTCCCCGTCAGGGCACATGCCCGGGTTGCGGGCTTGGTCCCCTTTCGGGGGCGTGCAGGTGGCAGCCCATTGATGACTCATCATTGATGTTTCTGTCTCTCTCTCTCCCTCTCCCTTCCTCTCTCTGAAATCAATAAAAATATTTTAAAAAAGAAAAAGAGTCTGCGAATGTAACTGGATTAAGAATCTTGAGATGAGATCATCTGAATTACCCAGGTGTGCCACTAATCCGAAGAGAAAAAAGAGACCCACACCCACAGAGGAGAGGCCACGTGAAGACAGACAGACGGGAATGATGTTGCCACAAGCCAAGGAATAGCTGGAGCCATCAGAAGCTGGAAGAGGCAAGAGAGGGTTCATTCTCTCCGAGAGCCTTCCGAGGAAACATGGCCCTAAAGACACCTTGACTTTGGATCTGTTGCCTCCAGAAGTCAATTTCTATGAAGAAATAAATTTCTGTTGTTTTAAGCCACTAATAATAATAATGAAAAAAGAAAGGAGAAAAAAACTTAAAACCTCAACCGCCCCCCCAAATCTTACCTATATAAAAACAGAGGTTGGTTAAAAGAGAAAATTCCAGATACACGCTGTTTATAAAAGCCACACCTGAGACTTTGAGTGTTGGTTCCCAAAAGGACCTTAATGGGAAACAAGCTAACAGACACAAATAAAGGAGCCAAGTTCCTTTACTGTAATACATATAGGATATAAAAAGTTAACTGAATAAAAGTAGTACCTGCGTAGAGAAGACTTTGCCAGTGTAACAGTTACCCCCGGCTTTCAGATCTCCAGAGCCGTTCAGTTTCCTGTTATATCTGATTGGGGTGAGGATCCCATTCCATTCTTTTCAAAGTGGCTGTTCATGAGGTTGGTTTGGTTTCTGCCTAGCTCCTGACAGCTGAGTGTCTGCTGTGTGACAAGGTACATCTTGAAGTCAGCATTCCAGGCATGTCATTACCCTGCAAGGCCTAGGTTTCAGGTCTGCTCGGGGAAATTCTGCAAACGGAACAGCATGGAAAAGTTGAAACGGAAGGGTTAACAGTAAAGAGACGGAAAAGATGTACATGCTAAAAGTCATAAAAATAAAGCTATAGTGGCAATATTAAGATCAGAAAGCATGTTTCCGAACAAAAAATGTTAGCAGGCATAACAAAGGTCATTTTATAATGCTAAGCGGGTGAATTTATGAGAGGACAGACAAGAAAAACAATTTGGAGATGTCCTAAAGTAAAATTACTGCGGCAGGAGAAAGAGAACAGTTAGCCTGTTAGTAGCTGTGGACCAGCTTTGACAAAAGACTGCTCACATCTCTATGTATCTGTTGAATTAGGATTAATTTCCAGGTAGCTATTTCTGTGATTATCCAAAAGAGAGAACAGCCGGCACTGTCAAAGCCCGGGCACTGCTGCTTATGTGCACATGAGCTTTAGGGACTGTGCTGCGCCCATCCCAGCACCAGCCCCTCTTCACCGGCTCCCTCGCCTTCGTCTACAGCTAATGTAAATTCTTCCAGAACGACTTACATCTTTCTCTCCCCTGCTTGATGCATAAAGACACTTGCAAAACTCCTGGGTGTTGAACATGCCTTCTTTCCTATTTATCCATGTTGCTGGTGGTTTAGACTCCACACCCCAAGACTGGTCTTCTTCTCCTTCCCCTCTTCTTCTCCTCACTTTTTGCTAGTGCTGCTGATGGAAATCGTGCTCTTTCATAGGATCACATGGAAAGCATCCCCCAGGTGCATGGAGATTGTGGCGTGGCAAGGTTTATTTGGATGGAAATAGAAGGCTGCCCCTGGGTTTCCAATGTCCCATCTCCATCTGTCCCACCATGGAAAAAATCCAGTTTTGTCTCCATCAAGGCCAAAACAAAGGCCAGTATCCAGAATGTCTGTTTCATATTAAAGCTTAGTTCTTTGGAGTCCGCGTGGTCTGTTGCAGGCCCTGGTTGGCTGCTAAGCCTGCACGGTTGTGCCTTACTGGGTGAGAGAGAGAGAGAAGGGTCTTGTTCTCTGGGATTATATTATTTTGGGCTTGGGAAGGACCAGGAGTTTTTTCAAAATAACCAATCAACTTCCCAAGCTTTGGCAGGCTTGCACTAGGTCTGCCCTAGGTCCCCTGGGGTTGTGTCTTTTACCCAATTGGATCCTTTCCCCAGGCTAGACTGACAGGCCTCTATGGCCACAGTCTTGGCTCCTGCTGAGCACGCCTCATAAGAGCACCCCTCCCCAAGCCATTGAGACTTCCATTGTGCAGGTG